AAGAGAACAGTGGGAAAAGTACCAACCACTGAGCAAGCTCAGCGGATGAGGCGGAAGGGCAACCCCCGACACCATGGTCTTAAGTCTAGCTGCACTAACCGGATGACTATTCTTATATCACTACTTGAATTAATATGCTCGACCCGACCAAAGGAATAGGAAAAGTAAGACAAACACAATGGACAGTGAGAGGGAACAAAGCGAAACGCAAAGAAAGAAATGAAGAAAAAGATAAATAAGAATATAAGGGAATAAGGAATTAAAGAAGAAATAAATATGGAAGAAAAAGGTTGTAAATGGATATAGAAATGAAGAAGTGAGAATAAGATAATAAGAAAAAAATGAATATAGAAATGAAGAAGTAAAGAAGTAGAAAAGTAAGGAATAAAGTTATAAAAGTAAAGTAGAAATAAGGAAAGGGATAAATAAGAAAGTAAAGAATTACAGATAAGGTAAGAAGAAAGTAGAGAAGAAATAAATATAGAAATAGGAAGAAATTGGAAATGAATATGAGAGGTGCTTCCGAGAGACCAGTATAGGAGACCGGCTCGAGGAAGAATGAGCGCTCCGAGTCCGGGCACTGCCTTTAGCGCTGCCCCCACTCCCCGGCTGCTCTCGCTCGCCGAGTCCTGCGTGACGAATTTGCGCGCACACATTTTTGGGCAACTTCCAGTATTTCTAAATATGCTTGGCCTGAATATCCGGGTTTTAAGTGTTAATATTTTACTTTATTGATTTAATTAATTATTTTAATGTTACAAACACTTAAATTTTTAATATTTCAATTTGAATGTAATTTATTTTTGATATTCTACAATTTCAATTCAAATTTTATTTACTCCCTATATTCTGCGAGATCTTGATTTAACCTCAATTTCATATTTTGAATAAATTTTGAAAGTAAATCAAGGTCCTATAATATTTAGTAAAAATGGAGGTGCTACACGGGTGACAAGTTGACACCGCACTTTCTTAAAAATATCTTTAAAATATTTCAACAATAGGCTTTTTCAATATTTCTTAAGAAGTTCTATAGTTCCCGGTCTCGGTCTAAGAGTTGCTTTGGGAACCAGTGGTGAGTAGCGGAGAACCTCTGCCCGCCAAGCTACGCGTTCGTGTTCACGTTTAGCTCGGCTACGACGGGATTCGCATTGTCGACGGACGCGATGATCACAAAATGCTACTTCCAGACTCGCCGCTACGATTTAGCGCCATAATTTTGGTAGCGCCTAAAACCGTAGCGTTGTGCACTTCCCTACTCATCTTTGTAACACCTAACACAGATAGAGGCAAAGCGAACGTGAAAGGATGAAAATGATTATAGAGGGCGAACGAACGAAGAACCGAAAAAGGAAAGCGTAAGGAGAATAAAAACACGAATGACAAGAGTTATCTGTGACGAAGGTTTAAAATGCAAACAATTACGTAGGTAAAACGTAATTTTTATTATCATATACTCCGCGATATTAAAATCAGTATGACTATGAGTATAACTTGAACTCACAGATTTGTCCAGCTGGCTGAATAAACACTCAACGTCTTTACCTTTACTTGTAACCTAACGTAAATGACAGAGGCCACAATTGTCACCAATAATTAACCAATTGACGTAGTCATTCTATTGAAAATTTTCAAGTCTTCAAATACTGGAATTCGGCAAAATTCAAAATACATTTAGCTAAGAATTTGCCACGTAACTTTCAAAAGCAACACGAATAATCTGGTCCTTAATTTGAAGACGATCGACGTTCATATTAAAAATAAAAATATTGTTCCTCCATCAACCATTACAATCACGGCTGATACTGGTAAGTAGTTGTATCTAGGTTATAATAAACCATCTGCTCGTCGATCCATTGTCGGGCTAATCCGATATTGGCATAGACTCCTGGTGTTTGATTCTCGCCGCAGCCAATACCCCAGGCGACAATACCAGCCTGCACGTATCGACTGGGATCATTTTTCAAAGGACAGACAAGGGGACTTCCGCCATCGCCCTGAAAGGTAATGAAGCCGGTAATATTTCATGTTACATTAATAATGAAACAATATAATTCATCGATTCTCTATTCGAACGTCATCCTAACCTTGCACGTGTCTTTTCCTACTTCGCCTCCAGCACACAGGAAGCTATTGTCCAAAACGAAGTATTTTCCGAGTCTGGTACGACGCAATGAGCTCTGACAAGTGTCATGAGGAACAACAGGAAGTTCGACTCTTTTTAGTATGACCTGGTAATGACCTTCCTTTCCTGAAAATATATATTAACGACATTTATTATTATGTTTTTCATGTGTGGTTTGCTTGCAGACAATAATACGAAATTCGTACCAAAGATATCTTTGCCCCATCCGCTGGCGAAACATCTGGAGCCATCGAAAGTAGCACCCTGTTGCGGAAGACATACGACGTCCACGTTCTCGGCGATGTCAACGGGTTGGGTCAGGATAAGCAGAGCGTAATCATTGAACAGAGCCCCGGAGTGGAATTTCTCGTGGACGACGATGGTTTCTACATCGCGATCCTGATGAGGGTAGATTTCGTTCTTCGTCTGAGTGTCCCATTCACCAGCACGTACCTTCAGTTGGCCTGGTTGTTTCCTACGTCCGTTTTTTTGTTTGAAAGTTAAAATCAAAAGAAAATAACGAACGATTGATGGGAATGGATTCCATTTGGATCCATGATTATGCGTTGTGATATGGTAATTGTTATTTTATGATAAAATTTTTATTTTACATATATGCATGTATATACTAACCCACTGACACAATGAGCGGCAGTCAGAACTACCTTCCTGTGAATGAGGGCTCCACCACACTGGTAAACATTTAACTTTTGAGAGTTGCTGCCAATCGTCTCCTCCTTCAAAATGGCTACCATCCAAGGGAATTCACCGAATTGAGCTTCGTTGTCAGTCTGTCCAGTGATCCTGAAGCCCACGCCGTCAGGATTTCTCTGACCGCATCCCCTGCGTACGGTTGGGGCTGGGGTGATCTTGTCATTAGGGTTACGCACGTCAGGAGGCTTGCAGCAAATGTCCAGGTAATTTTCGCATGTACCTTGAATTCTGATTAGCCAAAATAATACAGTTAATTTACTTAACAGTTATTTGAATTCTGTGTGCATGTTTTCTTTAATTTTTTGTAATAAGTCATTACCTGATATCAATAAATACTAGTACCACCAATACTACTGACTCTACTATTACTTGAATTCTGTAATTCTGCTAATGATTAATCATGTTGCTACTGAGCACACAACCAGAATCAGTCGTATCATCTACAACGTTCGAGTCGATTGACATCGTCACAATCTCAGCAAACACGTTTGTAATATTTATGTAATTTTTACAGAGTTCCTATATAACAATATAGAAATATCATGTAGTTGAGATTTAACTGCTTCGACGTGCGTTTACTTATATGAAAAATCTCTAAATGACAAAATAATGCGTAATGCCAATATTGACTGCATTAAATAAATATCTTCTTCTCTAGAAGATGGTTATGTAATTGTCATACATTATACAGCGTGTATCAGCTAAGATGCACGTTTCGGATTGCGACAGAGGGCGCGGAACGGCAATTGGAGACATGCATTTTTGCGTGGATTATTTTTGTTTCGGGTATTCGGGATGTTAGTTCCATACATTTCCACTAGGGAGCGTGGAGCTTTGAAAGTTCTGCTCGGTTTGATACACGTAAAGCTGCAAAGGCTGCGACCAGGAGCATTCGAAATCCAAAGCGACCGATACGAAATAAAAAAATACTCAACGATCGTCACATCAGATTTTCAAAATTGTGCACCGCAAACCGCAAACGTGCATCTTAGCTGATACATTCTATATATATATGTGATATACGTATAACATATAACCTACAGCAATGGGAGAGATATCACCCACAAACGGTCTCATGCGGCAATCTCAAAAATTGAAATGGCCAATTAAGATCGAAAATCATAAATAATGTAACATGTAGAATTCACATGAACATGCAAATATACTTGTACAACAGCAATAATAATTTTGATTCATGCCAGATGCAATCATGCCAGAGATCCAAGTCTATGGGGGAAACTCACCCGCCTATCGGTTCCCCAACAGTAGCAAAAGAGGACCTGATATCAATGAGGCCAATTCCATTTTCCAAAATGGTGCCGTTTTGGCACTGGTAGTACGGAACACACTCGCAAGCTTCTTGGGTCTGGCCATTTTGATTCTGGGTACCAAGGACGGTACCTGCAGCCGGATTGCCAGCTTTGTCAGAAGGATTTACATTGGTGTTGCCGGTATTAGCATTTGTGTTGCCAGGGTTGAACACATCGGAAATTAATTTATCCAAATCAGCACCCTGCTGCTGGGGTGCTGCCAGGCAGGAAGTGGCTAGCGCCAATGACATCAGGACACCAGGATGCCACATGATGATTATCTTTTTTTTATATTCAACGTAATCTGAAGGAAAAAAATAAATGCCATCAATACATCTCTTATGAGATTCTCAGAATCAATTTATTTCCTCATTAATGCTTACAGCCTTCAGTCATACGTGGGAATGTTACTCAAGATTGAAAAATATCTAAGTTTTTTCAAAAAATACGGAACACGATAATCCTCGGATTGTAGCATTGGCCAATAGTGCATATGTACATATGAGTTAAAATGCCATTAGCATACTGGACAGTTTGACCTTCGCACTTGCCCAACTGGTCTCATATATATATATATTAGTATATAACCGGTCTCAAGCAATGAAGCCAGTTTCGCACCAAAAAGGTTTCATTACCATGAGCAGCGTTAAGAACAAAGTAAAAACAAAAAAAGAAATAACACTCGACGATGAAAAAAATATGTTATACGTAACTCAAAAACGATTTAGATCAAATAATTTTTTTCACAAAATTACTCCGATGTGCGAATATCCAGTTTGCAAAATTATGAGTGGCCTTGATTCATGAGCGATTCGTATATACGTATATGGTGAACCGGATGAGGACATCCGAATTTGCACAATGGTTTTACCAGAGTTATATAATTTATTTCCAAAACTATTTTAATGACTTCAGATATTACGGTAATTCCTTTAAGATTACTCATATCTGTGCATAATAAAAAATGATACGAATCTACGATGCCTCCGTGATAATTATCCTTCTTAGAAAATGCAGTGCTTGCAACATTCTTTAAGTAAACGTTCCGGATATTCCCAAGGTAATTATAGATACACATAAATTTCCTAATACGTACACAATAAATCCACACGTTCCTTTAATCGTTCGTCCAATCAATTTACACTGTAAAATTCCCATAGAACAATAAGTCTGACCATTTATTAAAATCAAGAACGCAGAATGCAGCTACGTCGCTTTCGCCGGCGACAAAATCACAGAATGCGAAAATAGAATAACCGCGTAAATACACGAACACGTGAGAGCCCCAAAAAGAACGAGGGACAGAGACGCAAGCAATTCAAAAGTCCGTATGCGTAAAGTCTAATAAAACAAATACGTCTGAGTAAACAGTTAAACCGATAACGCCGGCCTTAAGAAATCTCGTACTGATTGCACAGTGACATTTAACCTCTCTCTTTAGAAAATCACGCACTTTCAGTAACCACGATAAGCCACAGTCCAGTATCGTATTGTATATGATACACGGATATAGAAATTTGTCCAAAAATCACATTTCACTTCAATAATCGTTAATCTTATTATTAGGATTGTTGTTAAAAAAAACACTCACCAAATTCTGTTAATCCAAACTCTGTACAAACCAATGTCCACTTCTCGAGCACCACGGAGCGATTACTTAGCTACGGATGAAAACTCTGGTAATAATTACAGTGTTCACCCTACTCCGCCATACTATATGTATCTGACTGCTCCCCACTCGGATCTACTGTGGTTTCTGGTTTTTCATTGCCGACGATGGGTAATCCTGGCGGCTCTTTCTACGTCAGGGACTCCCCCTGGGCTCTCTCGATACCCATGAGTCTGTTGACTGTCCGTTGAACTCCGGACGTGTTCAACGTCTTCCAAGAAAGTTCCGTTGGAATTATGAATCTGATTAGCGTTAACTGAAAGACTCATAAGGTCTTCGAGTTCTGTCAAACGTCCGTCCGCTGGCGTCATTCAAAGAATGCTAAGTGCGCGGCGAGCAGTGTTTAACTGAGTTCGATAAATGATGAACGTTTTGCAGGTTAAGAGTAGCGTAACGTGCGACTGTCCGTCATGGTGAAATTTTCTGTGCTAAGGCCAACGGGTTGATTATATTATTGTTTGGTGCTTTGTTTCCAGGAACGGTTAAGCCTTCAGTGACTGAGGCGAATTTTAATTTTGATATTGAATCTATAGTTGTGTATCGTGTATGGCGTTGCGTAAGTTTTTTTTTTCGCAAGACTTTCACTGAAACCCTTTAGGAACGTTTAATGCGTTTACGGGGATTCAGGTGTGACGCAAGCAAATTCTTGGTATTGCAACGTCACTCTTGATTTCTTGGAAGGTTACTTATAGACAGAATTTTCAAGAAGCATATGTCCTTTTACTTTTAGTCACGCGATATGTGGATCATTTATTGTATCATTTAATCGGTGATGTTGGGATAACGGTACAAATGGATTTGTAGTTATTGATTTTGATCTGGGAAAAGAATATTGTGTGGAACTTTTTTTTAAATAAATATATGCACACCATGAGTCAGTGCAGTTGACAGAAAAGTGATGCATGTCATTTAGTAGACTACAATGGAGGTATATCTGTAATGTCGTTTGATCTTTTTTTGTGATAAGGATTTAAATGATGGAGTATTGTTCAAAAAAATGTTACAAAGATCAGGCTGATTAGGCTTTACAAATTTATCTTCTATCATGTTATGTAGATCAAATGGGATCATCGCTTGGTCAAAGTTCTTTCTAATAAGATACATTTGCATAGATAATTTGATATATGTATCTTAAGAGAATAGAGATGCGAGAAAATTCAGTTTAATTATAAATTTATAATTATATTATTATTTAATATTTATTATTAATAATTCATTATACAACTGCATGTATAAGAATGGAGTACGTAAGATAAGAACAAAAATGGTATAAAATTACGAAAGAAAATGATGAAAACGGTCAATTCGGTAGAAGTATAAAATTAATATAAAAATATATTTGAAAAAAAGTAACTTCCACCGTGACAATGTGTTTTTCAGCACATTGCCGTGACCAGGATTCGAACCTGGGTTACTACGGCCACAACGTAGGGTCCTAACCACTAGACGATCACGGCTATTGGAAGAATTGAGAATAATGAAAGTCAATTCATTGAAGTACTGCTCGAATTACATAAATCGTCAAATCCTTGTGTAATTGATTAGTTTAGTGAAAGTAGTTATACTTGATGTATAAGTGAACAATAAAACGACAATATCTTAAATATAATAAATATTTAACTGAATCAAATTTAAATATACGTAGCATTCAATACGTGTACATAGAATAGTGTATATTTATTCAAGGTTACAGTACAGAGTCCAATCACAGAGAAACAGTCGAATTCCCAGATTGTTCCAACATTCACCGATCAAACGAACAGGCTGTTCAATGATCCGCGACAAAAAGGGGATCTTGGGAATAACACTTAAAGCTATAAAAAGAATATACAAAAAAAAGCGAATAAAGTAATTGTGATTTTTCAAGACAAAAAATCACAGCTATCTCTTCTTCGACATAATTGTCACGTGACAAATACTCAAGACTAGATCCATGATGGTTAGTCGTGCAAGTTGACAAGCAGCAAAATCGACAAATGCTATTGGAATGACTAAATGCAGAAAAACGGCTAATTACGTAACTAGTAAACCCCATAATTAGCAAGTTGTTGGTCAATCCATTGTCGATGCTGAGAGACACTAGCATACACTGCAGGTGTACTGGACGCACCGCAGCCAATACCCCAGGAAACAATACCAGCCTGACAAAAAGAATTAAAATTGAATTCTACAAAAACTGTATAGGCGTGCAAGCTAGTAGAGACAAAAATGTACCTGAATGTATTGGCCATTGGCATCAGGACACACTAGAGGACCACCGCCATCACCTTGACAGGTATCCTTACTTGGTTCTCCGCCAGCGCATAAGAAGCTTCCATGAAGTTGAAAGTACTGACCCAATCTGGTTGTTCTCAACCGCGCCTGACATTCTGATCTTTCAACAATGGGAAGATCAACCTGTCGTAGAATAGCCTGATACTTGCCCTGAGCACCTTCAACAAATTGACATAACTATACATGTACAATTAAATGAAGAATACAAGAATCACGTTCCCTTACCAAAGGCATTGCTGCCCCAGCCAGTGGCAAAGCACCGAGTACCAGCTGCAACAGTCATACCCTGTTGTGGTAAACATATTGGCATGACATTGGCAGCATAGTAGACAGGTGTTTTCAATATGACAATAGCCACATCGTGGTAGAGGCCGCCACTGTAAAATTGCGGATGGGCAACTAGCATGGATACATTTGCTTCCTGAAACGGAAGTGGCTCGTTGTTATTTTGAGTGTCCCATTCGCCTACCCGAACAACCAGGGTACTCGGATCTCGACTGTAAAAGGAAGTGACGTTGAATGTATCATGGCAGATATACTGATAGGTAGAAAGATGGTCTATGGTGTTTACTTGGTAACGCAGTGAGCGGCAGTCAGGACAGTCTTGGAATTTAGTAGAGAAGCACCACATTGAAAGAGAAGAGAGCCACTTGTCTGTCGACCGAGGAGTGCTGCCATCCATGGGAATTCGGCGAAGTAGGTCTCACCAGAGTTACTGGGTCTTGATAGACCTGTAATATAAAAAATTATTAATCGTCTGACTCATTTATATTCTAAAGTATCTAAACGTCTTACCGGAAGTATAGGTGGTACCACGGATACCACAGGTTGCCTGTTCAACGTTTCCGTTTTGAGAGACTATTAGAATCTCTCTGGAGTTAATGAGAAGGGGAGAGGACATTGTGCTGATTCCTTGAGAACGACAGCAGATCTCGTCAGCGACCGAACAGATTCCAAATCTAGGATCCACTATGCCACTGCCATCGACTGATACGGCGTTTCCGTCGGAGCACTGCCAAGTCTTTACGCAGATGCACTCCTGTGGTGTTCCGGGATTTCGTATTGGTCCCAAGGTATTTCCGGTAGCGGGAGGAAATCCTGTAGGAAATCCAAGTCCAGAGTCCTGACCGGTTGGTGGAAATCTGCAGCAAATCTCGTCGGCAGCGGAGCACACTTTGCAGTTTTGACGTTGACGTCCTGTGGGGAACCTGGGATCTATACTTCCGGCTCCAGATACGATGATGAATCTATTTGCATCGCACTGCCAGGTTTTCACGCAGTAGCAGGCACTCTGTGAAGGTATGGTTGTTATCATGGGCAACGGTGAAGACGTTGGTAAGGGTGGTATTGTAACTGGTGGAGTCGCTGGGAATTGTATCATGGTCATTGGTAATGCGCAACACACTTGGCCAGCTACTGGGCAAATATTTACTATTTGTTGACGAGGATTTATTAAACCCTCGCCTGAAACGATGAGTATCCCATTTGCATCGCACAGTGAGGCAAGTACGCAGACGCAATTTGTGTTGGGTGATGTAGTTGGAAAAGTCGAAGGTCTCATGGTAGGCATAGTTGGTATCATGGTAGGAGGCATGGTAGGTATCATTGTAGGACGCATAGTCGGTGGCATTGTTGGCAACATTGTAGGACGCATAGTCGGTGGCATTGTTGGAGGCATAGTTGGTACCATTGTAGGACGCATGGTCGGTGGTATTGTTGGAGGCATAGTTGGTGGCATTGGTGAAGGCATAGTCGGAGGCATAATTGGTGGCATAGTTGGAGGCATAATTGGTACCATTGTTGGAGGCATAGGTGAAGGCATAGTCGGTGGCATCGTTGGTCGCACAATTGGAGGCATAGTCGGTGGCATAGTTGGTGGCATCGTTGGAGGCATAATTGGTACCATTGTTGGAGGCATAGGTGAAGGCATAGTCGGTGGCATCGTTGGTCGCACAATTGGAGGCATAGTCGGTGGCATAGTTGGAGGCATAATTGGTACCATTGTTGGAGGCATAGTCGGTGGCATCGTTGGAAACATAGTCGGTCGCATAGTAGGTATACCAGTCGGAATCCCAGTAGGAATTGGTTGAGGAGTCCACGTGGTAGCATTGGGCAACCGGCAACAAACTTCCAAATCTCCAGTACACCTACGATACCTGGAAGTACCCCAAATGTTGAAAAGAAAATTCCAATAAAAGCAAATTCAAAATACTCACCGAATATCGATCACTCCAATTCCATCAGTAATAATAACATTATTGGAATCACATATATAATATGGAACACATATGCACGATGGTACAGGCGACACAGTAGTCGTAACTCTCTGAATTATTTGGTACTTCAATTTCTTCTTCAGCAAATGCAACAAAAACAAAGGAACCGATCCAGGACTCGAAGTCCCGAAAGATGAGTCACCAGCCCAAAGAATACTTTTTTCTTCCTTCCTCTTGCCTCCTTGTTCCCAGGAATCAACGTTCTGCTTCCCGATGATCAGAACAGCCAAAGTCACCAGGACGACTCGAATCATGATTGAAGAGGAATCACAGATGACACAATTCGGCCCCAACACCTCCACAGTACGATTTACATTAAACCACCTTCGGCACTCAACTCGTTTATGTATACAGGATGCTAAACAGAGAATTTCATAAGCTATGGGAAGTGTCTGCCATGAGATACAGCAGTACAATCATTTTAATAAGCCAACAACCAATCCCTGAGGCCCATGTGACATAATTGCACTTGAGCTCAGCCATGCGATGACTGGTATGGAAAAACCATTAAAAAAGGAATTATCTAGAAAAAAGAAAATTTTCATTTTCACATAAAAAAATACGTTCCAATAAAATTATACAAAAATTCAAATATCGATTATAGATCGACAGTCTTTTTTTTTAACCTTGACCCAAATAGTCGCTAAATAAACAAAAAAGCGACTGCCCACTAGCCCAGTCCACATGAGACTACCTTGATTTTTTGACGCCATCATTACTGGCCACTGATTCAAAAATACATGTGTTACTCACTGCTTATACACGGTGTACTAGTTAACTGTGCGAATGACCTACTTAACTATAGTAGGTGACAGGAAGATGTCACACGTTGAGTTCTTTGTATGTAGTCGCCAGTTGAAATTGTGGTTGCCATTAAGTTTTGAGCAATAATAACGTTATGCTATCAGGGTTGATTAATTTTTTTTAATGGTCCTAGTCAGTGTACATTAATAGGACGTACCTCGTTTTCACAGCGTGTAATCAGATTAACGTTTAAACATATCCCATGATCAACTTGGACGGTTGAAAACAAAATTTTGACAATTGATTACAACTGGGCTGATACCAAAGGATTCTTTTGTATAGTAAAAACTTTATACTGGAGATGGTTCAAACGACACGAATTGCAGTAGATGAGTGCAGTCGCGTTTCCATGATTCACAACGCTACGAGTCCAACTAAAGTCACGCAACGTTTAATAATTTACCATAGATCCATCGGGTCGATATACAATTACCGTGCGGAGGCGACAAATCATTTGATGCGATTTTATGCGAGACGAACAGTGCGCGTAGCCCATCGCCTTTTACGTGACGCAACGGAGTCAAAATTGTGCAAAATGAAAATTTACAATTTTGATTAATCAATTCCAAGCAGTTTCAGTACAGTCAAGATAGCCGTAAGATAGCTTATAGTGTAAGTGCGCGATCATAACCATGTAAAAAAAAAAAATGCAGAGAAAAAAAAGGAGTGAAACAATTTTTTTTCTGCAAATGCTATTTATTAAACAATCAATAATCGCGATAGATTCACACACATAGGACATACGGTTAAATAGTACAAAATAGATATTAATATACATTTCTGCAAGTATATATTATATAAGTATATATAGCGAAGGTATGAGAGTGCAGTGTACAGAAATGCAGGAGGTTGTTTTCAAGTCATAAAATAAAGAAACTAAAAAAAATCACTTGTGCAAAGAACTAAAATTCTTTCCTTTTTTTTTTTTTTTTGAAAAATTTATGCCACCAAAAACAACCTCTGTGAAAAGAAACGCGTAAAGGATTATATAAAAACTATAATTGTCCATCCTCTCATATCCCTTCCTTCTCCCTAAAGGGATGAGCAGGAAAGATGACGTGGATGGACCATGATGAAATTAATTTTTGTACAATTCTGTAAAATGTGCAAATTACAATAGAGACTTGGTGTGTTAGAGCGCGAAAATCAAATATAAAACTATTGCAGAAATTCATCTTTTACGTCAAGAAATATCTGTAACAATCGTACCTTTTTTTTTTCCTTAACCAATGTACGATCGTCAGTAACAAATGACGTCATCGAGGCACAAAATCATGAGATATATGTTAATATAAAAAAAACAAAAGGAATAGCGTTAACTTCCAATGCGTCTTTTTTAAATTCGTTATCAAATACAGTCTTAGACATGCCCAGGTCGTGTGGACCATTTTTTTCTTTTTTCAAAAACTGACGATCGTACATATAATAATACACCACTACCCAAGAGGTTATGTGGCTACTATTTAATCGTAGGAACAATTGGAGGAACCATATCACCGTGTAACTTTGAATATTAATCGTTGATTAATAACAATACTAACATTAATTATATATTCTTAATTATAATAACATTAGATCATAAACATTCTCAAATATCCATTATTCACGCCAGTAGTCCTAAGCAACATTTTTTAACTTATATTACTCATCCATATAACTATGAGATTCTTAGGGTCTTTTAGTTTGTTTTTTTTTTGGTCTCAATCTTAAACACTAATTAATCAATTATAAAAAATAATTAAAGAAAACAAATGTATGAAGACGGTCGCGGTTAGCTTGAAAAGATACAAACAATTGTTTCAAGGCACTTTTTCTTTTGTTAACATTGGTTTAACTTTGTACTATCTTACACTATCACTTTGTACTTTTAGTTCTTGGGACAACCAATAAGAAATGCTTGAAAAATGTTCATTGGCATATAAAAATTATTTTTCAATTCTTTTCAAGTATCCTTTAATTCCTTATTTCATTACGTCACAACGTTCTGTCCCGAGTCGTACGAAAACAAAGGAACAAAAAAAAACGTCACGTGTCGAAACTGCCATGATTCCCAAGAAGAGGCCATGCGGGACAAAGAATAGAAAAAGAAAACTTAAACCTAAACATCCCCCCTGGCTGGGAGAGCGTCGAGCAGTGTTTACAAAAATCCTTTGTTACTTCGACCTTCTTCCGAGAATCCCCCGAGGATTTGACCGTTGTCGCATGAGAATCGTAATGCGCAATAAGGGACACGGTTGAGCACAGTAGTTTGTTATCGATAATCGGGAAAAATGTTTATAAAATACGATTTTACGAATATAGAGAAGCATTCCTTCGTGAAACTAGTGTACTTGCTTTATGAGTATAGAATGAAAATACGATCTTTGGCATTGCCGTAAAATCGGTTTTCAGAGTCGCGACGTGAGAATTTTCATTTGAATTTTCCCGCGACGATCTACCGCCGATTAGTAATGAATAAATATAAATAAATAAAAGCAACGCTTTACGTCGCGTTACACTCTATACTTGGTTAACAATATTTATGTTTCATGTAATGATCGTGAAAAGTAACGCGAAGTTATGAAAAACGTATTTTCCTTTGTTTTTTTTCCAGTATTCGATTTTTTTTCAATCTTAAATTATCGGGTGCTATAATTATTTTTTTTTTTTCATATTCGAAAATTTGAGCGAGGCATGATAACGGAGGAAGTACCAGATTTTTTTGTATTAAATTTTTGTATGCTAGCCGATTGATCGTCGGAGACTGACATTGGGATCAGTTTTGTTGTTGTTGCAAGTATCATGATTATTTGTAGCTGATTAGCATTTGAATTTATTGAAGCTTCGTGATTGTATTTGAGTGTCTTAGAAATCGATTATTCATGATTTTGTTAAATGTACTTATTATTATACGGAATTTCAAGGTATTAGGAAAAATTCGAACTACGAGTGGAAGACAATGTGCTGGACTACAACTTTACGAATTGAAGTGACGATTATCGTATCGCTACGATTTTCGGAAACAAAAGCAAAGGGGGGGGGGGAACTTGCAAGTGGAGAACAGGATGAGACAAATCGACCGTCAGTTTAATTAACGGGTAGAATCAGTCAGTTGCGGATGATATTAAATAATGCAAAATCTATTTGCAAGGGATTTTTCATTTTTCTTCGAGAGAAATAGACAGAGACCGCGAGACGTTCTCGACTAATCATTCCGTCTTGTAAAACTAATTGGACAAATCTCAAAGTTAATTGTCGCTAATAATTAACATAGGAACTTGTAGCGCGCTGCAGAACTTCACGTGTATTATAAAGAATCGTTAAAATCGTACGAGACTCGAATCGGTTAAGAATTTCATATTCGATCCCATCGAGGAAACGCGAGAGAATTCAGAAGAGAAATATACAAGACCATAAGGATAATGGCCGTTATTAACACATGCACGCACTTCCGAAAAATCAAGCACTAAGAGTCTTGCTTTTAAAAGTATCGCGAATATTTCCTGGAAGGAAGACGGGAGGAATGAGCTATTCAAAAAAGTGAAAAATAATTCGTATTTCTAAAGAAGCCCGATTACCTCCGTATTCCACTACTCGTGACATTTCCAAAAAGCAAAGACAGTGATGCGCTTCTGATACTCTTCGCGAATCCCAATGGATAAATATAAAATTACAAGTTCCATTAACGATTATCTCAAGATGGAATAACACTTCGTTCGATTACTTGCCAGTAGACAATATAATAAAGCTGCAGAGGCACGTCTATACACGGCTTCGATCAGCCTGTCGGTTTATCATCCTTGCTGAGCAGATTCATCTCGCACGGCTACATCCGCGAGATCCCCATTCTTCGGTGAAGGGACGACGTTTTACTTTGAGCGTCGTTTTCCTGCCGAATTTCGCAGGATCTTGAGCGCGTTCACAGTGGCCACTGATTCTGGATGCTTATTCGCAGGACAATACTTGATCGTGTGTGCGATATCGCCGAACGCTCCGCAGATTGGACAAGTATAAGCGCTGATAAATAATAAAAACAATTTTGTTATAAGATCAAATGAATGATACAAGATTTGAATGCTTACCGTAGAACCGGACACTCGACACGTCCGTCGGCGTCTTTCAGTAGATGGCGTCGATAATAATGCGCTTCTTCGCCATTGTTCTTGCAAAAAACGCATTCCGACGGTTGAGGCTTCTTCTTCCTGCGACGAGGATTCGGCGGTGGAATTATGCCGCTTTCCAATTCCGGACAGTATTCAAAATCTCGTCCGTTATGGCGAAACTCCTCCATAACGTCCTCGGCTGAAAGAAATTTTAATTATGAAATTAAAAAAAAAATATTTCCTCAATCTCGACACACTGTGGTCACGATAGTCGTAACGTTTATCATAAGCAAGAGCGAGATAAAAGAAAGCGGTAAGCTTAGAATTTATTTGGCAAAGAATAAGCGGCACGCGTTCTAAGAAACCGAAGCCGCACAAGATGGTTGACAAAAGAAGCCGACCGATCATTCCAGAGGCATGCGACATTGTGTATAAAAGTTGAAGGGAAAAAAGGCCGACGATATCCTCCGGGTATAATATTACGACTCATGGCGTCCATTGGGAATATGATAAATAAGTATTTCGTTGCTACCTTATCTCGATATCCGCCGCCTGGCGGGAGGGAGAAACAAAAGATTTCGTTTATAAAAAGACATCCCAAGGATATACAGATATCATATTAGATTGTCAATCAGGCAACAAATGATTAATGCATTTTTGACAGATGAATTTGGTTTAGGAATAACAAAAACAAGTCTGACAGATATTATTGGGTATAAACCGCCATGGGCTTGCTGAAGGATCCATGGCACATGACATATATCCCATAGAAACTACTTATCTTTCCTCACACCAAACTGTCGCCTGTCCTAAGTTATGGGACACCTTCGAGAACCTCGAGTGCGTGGATGATAAGCGACATGCTTGATATTTTGGTGTTTGTTTGTTTTAAAAAAGTTTACGGATCGAGACTGGCGAAGGATGTCAAATATTTTTCAGCATGGACAGCCTATAAAAATTCTGTGGAATATTTCGCGTAGTTTCGTACGACTGATGCAGCACTTGAGCGACCTTCTCAAGTAAAAACTATTGTTCGTATGTTTACGAATATACGCCAGTTGGGATAGTCGTTTGTGTGTTGACATTGAAAAAATAAAGAGTGGAATACTCGATCATGAAAAATATTACAAGCTGACAACTGATATGCCTTGGAATCGAGGAATATGAAATTTTATTACCACCTTGTATAACGAATATACATATATATAACAAAGGTACACGTCAGCGCAAGTAAAGACCAGAATTGATAACTCATAATAAAGAATTACGTCAGATTACGTGGAATTGCAATGATTCGTGTACCGACAAACACGACGTTGTTTCTACAAGTTCTAACATGTTTCCATATGATAGCACGCGGTACGACAAATCAAATAGAAATACATCACATACTAAAAGACTGATACACGAAACAAACAATAAATATTTCCAAAAAGAAGTTCCACTTACTTTGAGATTTGACGAATTTTTCAGCAGTGAGAGTGAAGTTGGCGAAGAGTCTCTTCATCTCGTCCTCAAGACTCTGGTTGAATGGGAACAACGAATTGGTAACGTTTGGCATCGGTAATTGTTGCAAAGGCAAAACCTTCATCGTGACGACGATGAGATGCCGAAAAACAATGAAAGACAAAAAGATAACCGCCTAATTAAGCGGCACGACGTTTCAAAGCTATCTATAACTGTCGAAAAAGGACGTAAAATTTTAGATACGTCAGTGATATAATATAGGCTTGATTGTTATAAACCAAGGATCAAAAAGAAGTCCGAACAACGTATTCGCAGCACGGGCAGCCGGCACAAGCGATCCTCACGAAATCTCTACGAGAACTATGGGCACAATAGAAGCTCGCGCACTGTAGGGGCAAGAAGAAGGACTGCGGAGAAGAAGTGGGGCCAGGATTTGGATGGAAGGGTGAAGTACGGAAGTAGTGCACTCTGGGATGGCAAAGGTGAAGAACGTTTAAAACGGGACCAAAATTTGGCGGTAAATTTGAACGTGACAAACATGAGATTACTATTTCACAGCGATACTACGAGTAGCATTTACAAAGGAGAGTATCGGGAATAATGAAACATGACGTAAGAATAAAATACTTTGTCTTTTTTTTTTGTTTTCTTCACTAATCTTCATCTTTATTATTACTGTGTAAATATGTAGGCACTGAACAAATAATGTTTCATAATTTGTTTACAAACATTTACACTTACTGATCTTTTGTTCAATCAATGAATATTCTCTGCGAGCAGCCCGACACGCATGTTCCGGCAATTTGAAAAAAAAATCCGGTACACGCATCCGGGTCCACTTGTATCCGTATCTGTGTACTTCGCCATTCCTCACGTACCATACGTACTTCTCCCCCTAGCATTGTATGCACTTCCAATCTCTAATTGCGACCTCAATAATATTTTATCAATATATATACTTTACTTTTATTATGTATACTTTAATCTCTATACGCTAATATATTGTTCTTCTAGTCTAAAAATTACCACGATTATTAATAATAATTAATTATAATTAATTAATTAATAATATATACTTCAGTGAAATTATAATTAAAAAATAATATTCCGAATTACATAATAATATGTTAAACATATATATCGTGTAGAGAGGGGACGGGGAAGAGGGAGTAGGCTTCAGGGAGTTATCACGGGAATCTCGGGAATTATGAATTCTTTTAAAGGACAACGAGGACGACAAGGGTCTGTGTCTGTTAGGAGGATGGTTAAGGTCGTCGATGGAGGTAACAAGGGAGAAAAAAGGAGGGGAGTATAAAAGGTTGGAGTGGGGGAGAGAGGGGGGGGGTGGTAGAAAAAAGAACTAAAGGTAAACGCAAACCCTAACTTTGGCTAAGAATTGATATTTCGCAGTTGAAGAAGTACGACGCCTCGGTTACGTCTTTTCTTTTTTATTCATTTATTTATTATTATCATTATTTTTTTTTTCAAATAAACGATCGACTCCAACCGCCGTCGTTCTCTTCAATCTCGAAATATCAGACTAAGTGAAAGAAGATCTGTATGAAGTTATGGTGTGTGTAATGCATGCGTGTCATTTTCGTTTATGTGTGGATGAGTATGCGTCTCTTATGCTACAACGTGGGTGACAGACAATGAGGCGCCCTCGAATGTATTACAGGTGAGAGTGACTTAACGGCTGCTTTCCAGTGTCGCGGGGACTGATCGATCGCGGCCGTTGAAAGCTCAACAAATCGCCGACTGCGTTTAATCGATTCGACGATCGATACGTCAGATCTTGATTAAATGCTTTTACATTCTCTTTTCCTCGTAATTTCCAAATTTCCCTAGCCAGCCCCCTTCGGAGAATATTCGCCACAAAATACGTGTCTCCGTGTCTCGTGATCTACAATGTTTTCCCAATGGTACTGCACTAGGTTTAGCAAGAATAACAGCCAACAGACGTACATAGCTGACGATACGAATATTTCCATTAAGTCCGAAGTCACGCGTGGAGGTTTCAAGCCAATGAGAGTTGTCGAAAATTAAATGTAAAAATAATAAATATACATCGAGTAACGGTGAAAACGTTGAAAATCGCCTCGTCCACTGCTGTACACTGGAGTCGTATTGTAATTAAAAAAATAATTTATCACACCGACACAGGAGACACGAATCTTTTTTTTTTTACACTTATTCTACCAAACATCCGCCCCGAAAGGGTTGTCGCGTATCCACAGAAAAAGTCCGGCGATAAATTCGCTAGTGTCAATTATGATGCTTTTTTTTTTATGTCTGATGATCTTTCGCCATAACGATGCCGCGGTGGTCCTTTCGTAATGACTATATAATTATTATAAATATATATATAGTATCTATGTACGCGTATATATATATATATATATAATAGGTCCATACGCTTTGCGTAATGCAAAGTTATTCTTGTTGTTGCTCGCTCGATTAACTTCCTCTTATTTTCTTTTATCATTCATTCCTCGTCATATCCCTGCGTTTAAAGTTACATGATCGTGAGAGCGTGTATATTTAGGAATGTACATAGCGTACGTAGTTTATAATTAAGGTTTGTGTATAAAACGATGATACATACTCTATACTCGTAACTCGTTTATATCAAACGACAGATTAATTATGATATCGATTTTTTAGTCTCATGGTGCAGATAGCCGCATTAATGTGGGCATCATTCGCCGATAATAGGCTATAGTCTTCTTGTCCTGTCCTCCCGGTACAATGTCAATGCGGTTAACGGTGCATCGCCCGTTACTTCTTTTTCTAAATTCCGTCGAAAGAAACGCGAACGAGGAAAAAAAAAGAATAAAAAATAACGAAAAACAAAGTCCAGCCACTCCGTCCCGTACCCATCCATCCGTCCATCCGTCCATCCGTCAATCCATACGAAACGCAAATTCTTTCATCCAGGAATCCGGACACGTGATTATGATACAAGGGACGTCCAAATACAAATGGCCATCCGGTCTTCGAGTCCGCGGATCCGACCGCGCGGCGGTCTTCGGCACGGAACCGTGAAAAAGAAGTTACAATATTTTCTATCTTCATCCTTTCGCAACTTCCAACCAAACACCGTAAACCCACCGCGTCGCTTAACACCGGGAATTACATTTAATTAATATTAAGCCTTCATTTTTCTTCTTCCCTTTCTTCTTCTTCCTCTTCTATCTTACCGTCGCGGGATCCGCACACGCGTTCTCGCGACTCGTGATATATACCATTTTGATAATTTCTCGGATCCCTCGAGTGGTAAGAACGAATGAAAAAAAAAAAAAAAAAAAAAAAAAAAAAAAAAAAAAAACGAAAAAATCACAAAGGACGTTGGAACGTATCTGCGCGCGCATTACAACTTCTTCTTTTTTTTTTCTGTTTTCTACATTTATGCATTATACGTATTTACATAACTGTATTTCTTAACGAAAGATCCTCGCCCCTTATGTATACATATACGCTCTTTGCATCGTGTTCGTCCCGTGCGCAACATTTGGTTGTGTCGTTTGAACGGCACTCGGAACGGTTTTAAGAATTTACACAAAAAAAAAAAAAGAAAAGAACGAAAGCGGACAACGAAAAAAAAAAAAAAAATTATAGCGAATCGTACGGTAGGTAGATGAGAAACAGATTTCGGAGGCATCGGTAGGTTCCCTTTTAAGAGTGAAATAAAGTACAATAATAATAACAACAACAACAATAATAATAATAGCAATAAAAAATAGGCACCACTCAAAAGTCGTGGCGATACGCAGCAGTTCCTGATACGGGGGGTTGAAAAGGGGAGAGAGAGGGGAGGTCGCTGGTGTAGGAGACACGGTGTCAAGACTTTGGCCACTCATTTCGGATCGTCTGCATTGTTATTGATCTTTTCTTATTTTCTTTTTTTGTTCTTATATTTTTAATTTTTTTTTTTTTCCCTATATCTTTTCCTTCCTCTCATTAATATTAAATATTAATACTTCTAGTCGTATACTCTTCATTAGAGTAAAAGTGGTCTTGTGCGTCCCGGCGGCGTTTCTCGGCTGCGGGACGTGCATAGGCAAATACAGAGTGCACTCAGCGCATGTATTACTTATTCTTCTTCTTTTTTTCTTTTCTTTTCTTTTTGCTCTCATGATATGCGATAGTACTAACCTAACAAAACTTGTCCTTACATTTCTCATTTGGTATGTCTTAGTCTTATTTTATTTAAAAAAGAAAATATATATATATATATATATATATATATATATATATATATATATATATATAGATAGATAGATATAGAGAGAGAGAGAGAGAGAGAGAGAGAGAGAGAGAGAGAGGAGGGGGGATGTTATCAAATAAAAAAAAAAAAAAAAATATATATATATATATATATATATATATATATATATATATATATATATATATAAAGATAGATGGAGATAGAGAAAGAGAGAGAAAGAGAAAATTGCTACTTGTTTTTTTGTTTCTTCTTCTTCTTCCTTCACTTAATACAACGCGTCCTCTCCTCGAGTGAGACGCACAATGAATATGTCGAATGTGTATTTAAATTAATAGTGAGGATGAGCAGATCTACTCTTTTTTTGTTTTCTTTTTTTTTCTTCTTCGTCTCGTATTTCCGTGTTCCTATACCGTCCTCTAACGCGATACAATTAATAAAACGTTGATAAGGAGCGACGGCTACCGGGTGTATAAAAATTATACTTATGTAAGTATGACGATCGGTATTAATTAACGAGCACTCGTAAAGTAATCGTGGAACTGTCTTACGCGACCCGTGACACTGATCGCAGCACCGGTTTGGCGTATACGAAAGAGTAAGAAGGAAAAGGAAAACATAAAACGTAGAAAGGAAGAAAAATACGAAAATATAAACCAAAGGAATACCGTTCCTCGCGCTCCGTCCGATCGACGAGACGCTTTTCGTTCCCACTACCGGACTCTACATTTCCCTCTATCGCGTGTCGCTACGTTATTATGTCTTCGTGTTTTTCTTCTTAATCTTTTCATTTTCTTTTTTTTTTTGGCGGCGGGTATAGTTTCATAAAGCTTTGGTTCCACGCGATTTCGCGACGAGGATTGTATCCTGATCGAATTCGCGATGCGCAGGTTAATCGAATTTTTTTTTTTTTTCTATAAAAAAAAATAAAATAATATAAACAGAGACAGACAGTAAGGAGAAAAAGAGAGCAGAGACAAACTCGAGAGGAAGAGACGAAGATAGAGAAAGGGATGAAATATAAAGAGAAAAGAGTAGAGGGAAAAAAAAGAAAAACAGAAATTAATAGAAAGTAACACGTACTCGGCCTATGCGCGTCGAACACATTTCAAATACATTCCCTCATATCTACAACCTTGGTATATACACATATCACAATACCACTTTCATTTTCGTCTTTGACAATTTTGTAATTAACGAAACAAAAAAAAAAACAAAAAAAAATAACATAAATTTCTAAATTAAAGACGCAGCTTTCGTGCTAAAAGCAAGGATCCCGCTTACGTTTCATCTGATTACTTTACAAGCACCCGGATCTATATATATATACATACTTTTGCGTATACATATATATATATAGATATATGATTGCGTATATATATGTATATATATATATATGTGTGTAACGAATGTATCAATGCAACTAAGTCTTACGTCATCAAAAATATCAATGGGAATACCTCTACTATATTCTTACTTCTTACATAGGTTTTTTTTTTTCTTTCTTTCTTTCGCTTATCATCAGCAAACAGGAATACTCATTTCAAGTCATTGTCTCACGGAGTACGGTTCGATAATAATCGGAGTTGGGGCCTTTAGCGTTTATAAGTCACGAGTGAAATTATGCCTGCCCGAAAAGGTCCTTCCCTCCTTTTCTTCTTTCTTTTACTTTTTTATTATACAGTCCAGGAAAAGAATCCAAAATAAAAATTATTTTTAAAATATTAGTAAACGTCAATCAAGGCGAATCGCGAGCGGCCTGTACCGACCGACGGAGGCATCGACGACCCGAATATACATGCCGATTAGAGTATCGCGATTGATTCTCCCTGAAAAGAACGATTGCACGACGTAAAAGCGGACGTCATTTATACGGGTTTGGTTTTTTCTTTTCAAATTCAAATTCTTATTTTCTTTTCGTTCCTTCCACGTATTTTATCCTTTAATAATTAATAATATATATATATATATATATATATATATATATATATAGTCCTTTTGTCTTCCACTCTTTCTTATCCCTTTCCTTTTGTTCACACTAAAATAGCATCGCCCGGGACACGCTTAGCAACAATTAATAATAATAATAATAATAATAATAATAATAATAATAATAATAATCTTTCATTTTCATCTTCTGCTTATTTCGCTTGTCTTCTATTTTTTTTTTAGGTCTCGCTATTGCACCGATATTTACAATGGACGTTTATGCTTCGTACTGTCTCAAATAAATTCGGTTTCAATGTCAATCGAATTAATACGTTAAACTTTAAATAAAAAGTCACTTAAAATTTCTATTTGTATAAAAGAAAAAAGATGAACACTCGCACGTGTGTTTCTGTGTGTATACAATAATAATGTATATATAATGTTTTTCTAAAACACCTACGTGCATAGTTCTAAATCTTTATAAAAAGGGACGATAGAGTGTTACGCGTATACATATGTGTGTCTGTGTATGAGTGTGTTCGAAAAAAAAGAGTAAATAAAAAAATATATAATTAAGTAGTCGAAATGGGAAAATATGCCTGTATAAGAATTGTAAAGTCTTAAAGCGCCGGTTTCGGAACGCTGGTGAAGAGTCCGTGGCTGTTTTTACATGTTTAATTGTCGTGAAAACGCGCCCTTGGTAAACTTCTCTCGCAGCCCTGTGTCCGCGAATTTGTCACAGAGCTTCGAGAGAAAGAGAGAGAGAGAGAGAAAAAAAGAAACGAAACCGCCGTCGCGTGACCCGCACGGCTCAGATAGTAAAAAATAAAATAAAAATGTCAACGTACGAATGATCGTTAATACATAATATATGTATATTGAGAACAAAGAAAAAGAAAATCTTAATTCGCAACGGCTTAATGCCAAGTGCTCCTTAACGGAATTCTTTGTTGTGTCTTTTTTTTTTCAATCTTTCTTTTTTCTTCCTTTCCTTCATTCTTTAAGGCTCCCTATTCGCGATTACGCTCAGAGATTTTTTTTTTCTTTCTACTTTCTCTATCCGACAGAATCCAATCAGTAAAATTCATTAAACCAAACGCACTCGCGTATCCTAATGTCGAAGACACGCGAGGCAAAGTCCCTCGCGCAACAGTTAGTTTTAATAATATATTACGCAATCGAATCTGTCAGCCCAGAATTGCTATTGAACCGGTCCTACACGTATTTGAAGATATTGTCGCCACTGTTTCAACGCCCAATCGTACAAATACACACGCGGCAGAAAATAGTCTTAAGCATCTTTGCGATTATTACCTATATCAAGTATTCGAAAGGAACTTCAATTGAACTTTATAGGTTTTCCTTATTTTTTCTTTCTTTCTTTCTTATCTTGCAAAGGCCAAAGATCCGTTTCTACCGTAAGTAGAAACGAAGCGAATCAATTCTGACGTAACGAAAATTAGATCTACCATAGGTGGCTATCTCGTTCAGGAGGAATCGGCGCTCCGACGTTATTAGGTACTGCGAAGTGGGGATGGTTAAAAAAGAAAAAACACCAAAGAATAAGGAAAAGAAGAGAAAGAAAAAGAGAAGGAGTAAAATAAATATACTCGTTTAAAGAAGTCTAAATTGCCACGACGAGGATCGAATTATACTAGTCTAAAATTTAAGGATTGCGTACTGCCGATCTGAATCTATGCGCCAGAAGTTCGAGCAGCGTGACTAAAAAAAAGAAATATGATCCTCGAGCAATGTCTCCTGGGAAAAACTTGGCCGATCTCAAGTCCAATGACATACTCGAATGAATGCGATCGAGTAAATAATTAAATCGGATCATCGACCGATCGTCGCACGATTATGAATACGAGTAACCAGTCGCAGTACAGTAGAGGTCGTCGCGGCTACTATAATGGTCATACAAATAGGGTGGACAGATATGTGGAGAGATAATGATAGTGACAGAGCGAGGGATACAATGAGAGACCGCTAGGCAAGTCCCGCGTATTCGGTATATTCTATTTCAAATGAAAATTCGTGAGAAAGCGCGTGAATACGTTCGAGTAAAATCTGCGCGGGCACAATTCAGATCTGTAGCTGGTGTTGGGCGTTCTGGGATTTGCCGGGGTCAGGTAAGGCCTGAATAGTTAGGGTTTGCTGTTGTCGTTGTTTAACGACAGCGGATCGGATAGTTTCTGTTGCGAGATCTCACTGACGGCGCCGCCACTCATGAGCTTCGCGTTATTGTTCTCCGTGTTGGAGACTTTTGAGTATTCCCGTTTGCGCATCGTGCTCTCGGTCTTAACTATGGTTATGTCAGGATTGTTTTCGAGGACCGACGTGGCCGCCTTGGGTACCGATGTCGGTACCTCTATGTAACCGCCACCTTCCCTCTTGATCGTCGTCGAGGTCGTGGGCGTCGCTGCATTGGCCGCGTTCACGTTGATCTTCTGCAGGATGTCGTTAACGGCGTCGCTGTCCGTGTCGTTGTTCCCGTCCACGTTACTGGCTGCTGTGCTCAATTCACCAGCCAGGGAAATCCTGTCCGGACCTTGTAACGTCGACAAGTAGGTAGCCAGGGTGTGGACAGTCACGTTGAGGAACTCCGCCGCCCGGAACAACGTGATCTCCTTTCTTCGCAGCTTCGCCAGAACCTCCGCAGGTCCAGGTTCGGACCAAAAGTCTCTTACTCTGTATCAAGCAATTGAAATTAAAGTTCTACCTTGCAGACACATCGATCTTTGACCTCGTATCTAGATTAGCCCTTATCTGTCGACTGTACCAACCTGTAGGGGTGTTTAAGGCATCCATAGCTGTCGCGGTATCTGCCATAGAGAGTTCCATAAGAGACGCCGAGTATCTCAGCAGCAGTCTTCATCTCCAGTTCCTTGCTCTTTATCGCGTCCATGACGCGTCGCGTGAACGGTTCCTCCCAGAACTCCTGACGTCGTCCCGTTGTAAGATAGTCGTTCATCTTAACGACGTCTCGAAATTGTTCTGGAATCGCCGGATTCGTCGCGTTCGAATTTGCCGGAGTCGTCGACGCTGCGGCGAACCGAAGACACTGTCTATTAGAAAGGGCCGAGCTGCCAGCCGATAATCTCAAGCCCGTTATATCTACAACATACCTTTCTTCTCCTGATCCGATGTATTCTCGTCTTTGCACATGTAGGACAACTAAGAGAATTCATAGATAAGCGTTATCATTTCGTACATAGATAAACACAAATCTTATTCTCATAAACTAGAACTTTATCCTTACCACGGGTAGTGGGGTTTCATTGTTTTCAGACATCATCATCTCGTCATCCCAACTTTCATGATCGCCCTCGCTCATCATCTCCTCCTGAGGAACAACGAACAATCCATTAACGATACAATAGTCGAGATTCGCCACGCTCGTAAAAGAGAATAAACAAAGTACCAGAGACTACAAAAAAAAAAAACCAGAACCACAAGGCAAAAAGTTCATAAATCCACTACAGCGTTAAAGCATCCCAACCAAAGTGACCCAACCGATAGTTCAGAATCTACATTGGCCATGAAGCTTGGCTAACCTGGCTTACAGGGAATGTGTCTTCTGTGCCTACATTTCCGGTAATACAGGTGACTTTCGGCGTGAAGACGTCGTGTGCCGACGGCGGATCGTCGAGAGGAGGACGTCCTCTGCGTCTCTGCTTAGGCGGCGGCGGTTCGTCGGCCTCGCCCTCCCTAAGGACCGTCTCGACCCCAGGAGTGCCGGCGCCAGGACTGTGTCCACTGTTGCTCAGGTCATTCTGCGTGGAGTCGCTGCGCCAGCTGACTTCCGCCAATCCTTTTATGTGAAGGTCCTCGGCCGTCTTCAGCAGGGACGATAGCCTTGTCTGTGTACGGAAAAACGGTTCATGTAAAATCGACGGGAATACAAGATTAAAATGAAGAAAAAAAAAAAAAGAAAAAATCCAAAAACAAAGAAACAAGAAAGAAAAAAAGGAAAATTAATCGAGAGGCTGGAGGAATTACGTTAAATGTACCGTTAAAAAAAACTGTACCAATAATGGATGCTGTACACGTTTCCTACTCATGCAGGGAGAGTTACACGGCAGAGACGCCACCGTGGTCGCAACATTATCTACAGCATTTGCGGTGCACTTTCATCATGGAATCGACGTTCTATCCGCTTTGCTATTGGACTTTCACTGTTCGTTTGCGTTCTATACTTTTTTTTTTTTTTTTTTTTTT